TCCTTATCTCTTCGTCTGTGTATGTCTGGACCTGGCGCTTTCTTCCTGTGTACAGCGCCAGGCTCCTTCACACTTGGTGATCATGTTTAGTCTGAGTTCAAACATTGATTGGGCTAGYTAGTACTACTCTAGCATTCTGTTTCGCTACTCTGAACTACGTGAATGAGGTCAGTCCTGTCAGGTCAGTCTTTGTATCAAAGTCTTCCCTGCGCCATTCAGCACCTTTTGTATGTATGAGAATGTACATTGTCTGTCGAGATTCTACTCGCACTGTATTGTCCAGTCAGTCCTTTTCATCACACTGCAGTTCCTCAGTTATTACGTACATTGCATATCTGTGCATGTAACACACTCCCCAAATGGGGATCGAGATTCAAAATCCAATATACTTGGATATCCAACTGCCGCTTGGTTATCCCGACATATCGTAAATGGGTGGTCCCAACTTCGTCCTGTGCATTCTGTACATAGTACGAGAAAATAAGTTAAAGAACTACATAGTGCATAGTGACGAGTCTGCCATGCCCTGGGCAAGCGGCAACAGATCGACGAAGAAGAAGAACAACGGTGGGATTCCACTGCATCCAATACATTCCACTGCCCCGTTCCTCCGCCCGGGTGGAGAGTGTGCTCTGGGAATTCAGTTGACTTCCCAACCGGTCACATCTGACAGCAACAGCTCTACTGATCATCAATCCCTTCGCTGCGCCCCAGGCAATCAATGCCATCCTGCATGCCGGATGCCTGTGTACACCAATCACATGGGACGCTGGACCCAGTTTCCAGCACCCATCGTTCCCCTCGAATAGAACACAAATATCTATCCACATGCGGCCTTCCCCAAGGTTTTATCACCTCGCTGGCAGAAGCATTGCGAAGGATCATCGGGGGAAAAAAAAAGGATCCAGGCATTAGGACACGCACATGCAGAATGCCTGGATACTGTTGTTCAACATTTCGAAATTCTATTCCCAAATTTCAAATTTGAAATTTCCGATGATTTTCCATTTCTGTCATTCTTGTTGGGCAAAAAAGAAAAGTTGTCCGGCATCGCAATACATTGAATACAGCACAACTTTCCGCCGAACGCTTCAAAGAGGACAAATAGAAAAGACTCCAAACCAGTTCAAAAGTGTGAAAAAAAAATGAAAATACAAAGGACTTTGTGCGCCCTCTTCGCATTCAGACTCGCTTTCTCTCTTACTTCGCATGCATGTAAACCGGTGGCACACCAAACTGGCGACAAGCGCCCACTCAAAGCTCAGAGATATGGTAACCGAGAACACAGTTCAAATGCAAACTCGCTCCCGATGAGCTATGGCGCAGATGCGCCCAACAACTCTTGTTCGTCACTGTGTTCAACCCCACCTCTCACACACACTCAAACTCAGGATCACCCTGGATATCCCACGCACTGACACTCTGTAACACACACACACACACACACACTCACTACAACTAACCCAGCTATGGCCGCCGAGGCAGCCGGCTACTACTAACTATGGCTCGCTATCTTCCTCGCAGCCCGCTTCTCGTATGGGCAACTGCAGACCTCCTCGCACAAGACGCTGTGGCAGCGCTTCCTCATGGCTCACGCAGCAATGAATGAATGGCTGGACGCTGCCTCTTGCTTTATACTTCTGGAAGTCGCTGGTCTGATTCTTTCCACCGGGCCCATGGTGCACACAGTCCCTCATGGTACTTGCTGACTGGACTCAGTGAGACTGGGACTGGGTACCGCTGACTCAGCAAGGGTGGACTTCACCACTTGCCCACTTGCCTCTAGTCTGCTGTGTGCAACGTTGGAAGGGCCACTTTCGGACCTACCGGAAGTCTGCGGACTTGGCCCTTCGACACTGTAGCAACTACGACCTTGACCTTTCAGGACTGTAGCAGCTACGAACTTGACACCTTTCAGAGGAGCTACAGCTACGACTTCTAGAACTCACTAAGACCCCTATCCGACAGGTCTACAGATCGAACCCCTACCACCTACAGACCTACGACAGCCTACCAACTGTTACGAATACACAGGTCACGGGTTCAACTCTCGGGGTCGACACAGGTACTGTACACAGGTAAGGTAAGAACTAGGGATCGAGCCCTGGGATCTGCATTCGCTACTGCTAACAGGTGAATACCGTTTCACTCTTGCTCTTGGTTCGAGCATGTTCCGCATGTCTTGGTGATTGGTATCCAGACCATTCACATTCAGGTCCGCAAATCGGGATGGTGTTCAGTTCTGTGCTCGGCGAAACCATGATTCAAGCAGATCCATAACTTTCCCCCTTCACCCCCCCCTACACCCCCTTCTCCCCCTTCTCTCCTCCTCCCTTAAAATTAACAACAAAGTTGCAAAACACAGACACACACAAAAAAAAAACACCACTCCATCAAACAGTCGTTCGGCAACTTTGACCAAATCTCATCCATCAAGTGGTTGGTCATCGGAAAGGTCAGCGAATGAACTTTCATCAGACCATGGCCACGTTCTCACCCCTGATAAGATTTGACTTTTGACTTCTACGTTTAGGGAAACCTTTACAGTTTTCACATGCAGTCAACATCAACGTGAAAGTCAACGTCAACGTTCTGCACACCACTGCAGTTCTCACGGCTCTACACAACACCAGTGGAATGAAACCAGTCTGCAACTTTTTGTCTATGTCTATTTGCCTTGGGCAATGGGGGCCCTAATAAAAGACTGATTTTTCTGTAAAAAAAAGAAACGAAAAAAGAAAAAAAAGGAATCCACAGCACAAAGATGGCTGGCTGATGGCGAGGGGCCGATTCAGAGGCATGTGTTTCGCCACTCACTCCAAAATGTCCATATCAGATTGGAACTTGCCATTCATCAGTGGATCTTCACATTGGGTGATACAATGATATCCCACATTCTTTTTCTTTTTCTTTGCGGTGAAACTTCATAGAACTTTTAGTGAAACATCATCGAAATCATGGGATCCAAAACACGAATTTCCTCTCTTCGTGCATGCATGATACGTCAAAAACGCACAGTTGGATTATTGTAATTGGATATACATCTAGGCTACCAGAGTGGCCCGGGGCCACTTGCCCGGCCGGACAAAAAAAATAAAATAAAAATTATGTTTTCACTTCATTTTATATTTTTAAATTTGGTAAAGAATTTCGATGTGACCCTGAGGCAAAAGTTGTTCAGTTTATTTTTCTGCATAACACAGTTTTTTTTTTTTTTTTTTGCTAGGACCTTCCCTGGTCCTTGCACGGCCGGGCCGTCCGGGAAAATAGGGTGACCCGGGCGGCCCGGCTGGTAGCCTAGATATATATTATATATTTAGCAAATGTCAAAAGATCAAAAGCTGGAACATTTGCCGGAGCAGAGCTCTAGAAAAAAAAAAACATTTCACAGGACCATTCGACCGATAGGAGTGACGGGTGGCGTGAGAGTACAAAGTACTACAAACGGCAGAGGGACGTAATCACGTTCGTGAGCTGATGGCTCATGCTGATACCTTTTCTTTTTTATTTTTTTTGCCCCTCACGCTGATATCTCACTTGACTTTCAAATTTCAATTGTTTACACCTTTTTTTTCCCCCGGCAAAGAGAATCTCAAGATATTCAACGAATCTTATGAATCTATAACCTGTGCCCTAAATCCCGCACAGCCAATGTGGAATTTGTTGCTGATATGATGATATAGCACTTTCCCATACATACTGGAAAGATTAGTAATCGGAGTCTAGGGCGAGTGACAAACGTATCTTTGTAGGGTAACAGAGGCAGACACACTCGTTCAGCAGAATAATTTACTCTGCTGACAGGCGAGGGCATATGTTATGAGCGAGAATAATCAGATGCAATCACGTGGGGCACTGTCGCCCCCAACCCCTCCCCCCCTCCCTCCTCCAACCCCATAACTTACACCGTGACCCAAATCACCATGCAGTCCACGCTTGAGACCAAACATAACCCCCCTATTTTCCACACAATTTTACGCATTTTAAATGGTTTTCGATTCTCTTGTATCATGTCGCACGCGTGTTGCATGCCATGTCGATTAGCTAATCCACCTGGATCCAGGCCCCTGATGTAACTTAAATTACTTATTGCAACAAGGTAACAAGGTTTCCAGGAAAAAAAGAAAAAGAAAAACAACAAGGTAACGACGTCATTCTCAAAATAAAAGTTTTGTAGTACACAAATCATTCCCAGGGAAGAGGAGGGGAGGGGATGCGGGAGGGGGCAGGAGGGGGCGGGAGGTGGAGTTGGGTCAACCACCTACCTAAGAGCCAAGGCGGGTGGGAACTTCTGGAAGCTCACTCCCAGAAGACAGATGAAGCGCTTCTTGAAATCTGTTGCAGTAAAATCAAATGGATGGCAGAATGACCGGGTGAGAATGAAACAGCACGCCGTACCCCCCCCCCCCGAAAAAACAAAAAAAACCATCAGGACCATGATCAGGTGTGATGAATTAACTAAAAAATCAATCAATTCATAATCCCTTACACTCCAAAAAAAATATAGCGGTCCTTGCAAGATGCTTCACGCGGGCCCAACAGCAAAACCGAATGGGAGGTACTGGTGGGGCGCAGGCCTTTTGGGAAGTGCCTCGTGCAGTTCAGTGAGGGTACTCAGGGGGGGGGGCACAGGGCGTGCGTTGTTAGCTCGTGTCGTTTTGTTTTGGCCCGCGTGTAGATTCATTGGGTTTCAGTTTTCCTTTTTCGTTTTTTGTCGTGTTGTGGGTGGGCGAGGCACAGTATGTTTGAATACAAGTTCATAGTAGAACCCGACTATGAACATGGGTAGACAAATACTGGCGGGTCCCGTCGTTTTTTTATTCTTGTTTTGTTTCCTGTTTCTCCGTGGTGTCGTTGTTTCGTTCATAGGGCCTCGCTCCACTGCTGGACGTATATCTTTCCACGTTTTAGTGGAAGATTCATTCTCATTTTGCACATATGTTGAGTAGTGGAGAGAGGCCCATCGTTTTTGACATTTTGTACATAGCAAGACCTGACTATGGGCCTCGCTCCACTACTTGCTACATGTGCAAAATGAGAATGAATCTTCCGCTCGAACATGGAAAGATACACCACTATGCTTTTTTTTAACTTTGGGCCTGTAGTGAGTAGTGGAGCGAGGCCCATTTAGAGAATACTGAAGCGACGCACAGTCTTAGGGCGCTTCTCTGCTACTCACAGCATGTACCAACTGAGCTAGGCCAGTTTTTTTTTTTTTTTTTCCGGTTTGTGGGGGGGGCGCTGGGGGCCGTGTCTGTGCTGTTCTTTTCTTTTTCGAAGTTTTTCCCTTTTCGCTGTGGGAGTGTGCCTGCTAGGAGCATCCAATCCACAAAGTACATTCCGCGCCTTAGCAGGACATGCAGGGGCACACAGCAGAGGAGGGGGAGAAGGCCAAAGGGGGGGCAGATGCAAGAGCGCCACAGAGAGGAGACGGACATGGGGGAGGAGGAGGAGCAGGTCTCCGCCCTGTGCGGAGCAGCAGTGGGCATGGCCTTGTACAATAAATGTATGCTTTCAGATTCAGCATGGACTCATTCCGTACTCAGCTTTGACTTTGGTACGCTCAGAACATACTCACACTGGGACCTTCCTGAATGCATCTGACGACAATTGTGGCGAGATTCGGTCCAGAAAGATCGAACATGCGCATGTCATGCCCTTTGCTCCGGTTCCATGTTCTTTTTATCCCTTAAACCACCAGCAAATCCTAGGCAAAATTCATGAGCCTCGAAACTGCCCGGATCACCAAGCTTTGCCAAAACGCCAGCGTGGCGTTTTCTCGTTTTGTTTGGCTGGCACAGCCAGCCATTTTGGTCTGGTTGACTCGAGCCTCCAAACTTTTTTCGAAGTGACTCAATCGCAATTACCAAGTTGACTGGGGTCAAGTACTGGTGGTTCAAGGGAACAATGCTAGAAACAAAAAAAAAAAAGAAAAAGAAATTAGAGAAACAAATTAAATATGTTTGTAGCAGGGCTGGTCGCCGGATGGACCGGGGACCCCTACCCCATCCGCGGTCCTTCCGGTTGGACCGGCCGGTGGCCCAGGCCGGTTCCCTCCCGGTTGCCCCCAGCGCATTTTCGCTGGGGGCTGAATTTTTTTTTTTGTCGGCGCGTACGTGTTCCCAAGGCCTCGTGGGGGCGGGCCCTGCCCCGCAATTTCGAAACCGGGTCCTGTAGGCCCGGATTTTTCGAGTACAGAAAGTGGCCAATCTTGGCCGCCGATCGTCGCAGATCAGCGGCAAAGATCGGCCAGGACCCCATTTCTATAAGAAAAACGGGCAGACGATATCCGCCGCTGATCTATGCAGATCAGCAGCGGAGAACAGCCATGCGTTTTTCCTAAGATGTGGGTCGGGTAGGCCCCTAATCCGCTTTGTCATCTTGTGGTCCAATGGACCAGTTACCATTGGCAACATCTGATGCTCTTTCACCCTCAGCCACGAGGGAAACACTATGCTTCTGATGAGACTATATCCTTCTGCGACGTCCCTGCCATCTGTGGAAAAAAGTTATGGGTTCGGATTTTGGAATTCTGATTTCAGAGCCGTCCGAGGTGCAATCCCAAGAATGGACCTAAAATACAGGGCGTTGCTGCACTACTCTCGACATGCACAAAAGACAAAAATCTTGGCGGTGTATCTTTCCAAATTCTAGCGGAA